ACGCCCACACCCACCCACACCCACACCCCACACCCACACCCACACCCTGCTAGTACACCAACACAAACTTATCCTGAACCATCACAAACATCAATACATCAACAAACACAATTACCATTAAGCATGGATTCAATATTAGGTAGATTAATTCTATAGTTAAACTTTTTATAGATATTAATTTGAATAATAATTATTCAATATTCAAAAATAAAATAACAATAAGAATATCTTTTTTTTTTATTTAGTATCAAATATAAATTTAAATCGTCGTCATTTGGGTTATAATTTTGAAGAACGTATTCAACAACGACATCAAAGTTTTGTTGTTACTGCTGATAATCGTCATATAATATCAACTGGTTATTGGGACAAAAGTTTTCGTGTACAAAATACTGATATAGCTAAAATTACACAAGTACTATATGGTCATTTTGATATTGTTACATGTGTAGGTCGTTCAGAAGTAACTATTGCTGGAAATTGTTTTCTTGCAACTGGTTCACGTGATTGTACAGTTTGTATTTGGATATGGAATGATACAAAAGGTGCAATAGTTGATCGTGAATATTCAAATCAAGGTTATAATTAAATTTAAAAAAAATGTCAATATATTATAACTAGCGAGAGTCCGTGCATACTGCACGGCTGTTTTCTCTTTTCACGTATAACTTAAGACGTTTAACTTTTCATTCAGGAATAGACATACAGACATTCGATATTATGTATGTAGATAGATAGCCCTACGGTCTCATACTCTTATATCGCACGTATTTTTATAGTCCATGTAGCCTTCGGTCTTATAGCTTTGTATTCCTTGTAGCTATTGTAGCCTTATCCCCTTGAGAACCTATGGCTATTCCCATATTATAGCTCTTCATGTCCTATAGATATACCATATAATAGCCCTTGAGGATCTATGGATTTCACTATATAATAGCCCTTAAGGCCTTCCGCTTATAGGACTATTTGACTTTTAACCTTTAACCTTGGATCCTGGGCACAGAGACGTCAGACAGACACTGAACAATATATATATAGAGAGATTTTTTTTGTTTTTATATAGAAATCAATCCATCACCAGCAGCAATTTTAACTGGTCATGATAGAGAAATAACATGTTTATGGATATCAGCTGAACTTGGTATTGTTTTAAGTGGTAGTGAACAAAGTCTTGTACTTCAACATACACTTAATGGTGATATATTACGTTCATTTGAAAATCCATCAAAAATATCTACACCACGTCTATTATCACCATCAAATGATGGTGATATTATTGTTTGTTATGATCGTTCAAAATTATGTTTATATACATTAAATGGAAAATTAATGAGACAAGCAATATTTGAAGATGAAACTATTCAAGTAAAAGCAAAACAAAAAAAAGACAAAAATAATTATTTTTTTTTATTTTTGTCTAGTGTATGGTTTTAAAGGTTGGTAGACAATATACACTTATTGGTGGTGATCTAGGTTTTGTACAAATCATTCGAACACATGATTTACAACCTGTTTATG